TTTGCAAGTCTTGTGACTTGCAAATCTCAACATAATTTAATGCTTACACCCACTTTTGAGCTATTACCCAAGTGTTTAAGCCATTGTCCAAAGGATCTTTCCATGTATGGCATAAGGACATCATTGTTATTCTTGAAAAGCAAACTTTTTGTACAAAGTTTGTCTTCAGCCCATACTTTGTTTATTTTCTGACTTTACCCTACCATAAAACATGGAAGTCAACCCCTTTAAACCAGCAACTTTGTTACTTCATTTTGGAACCATGGAGTACTTGACATAGTTTGATACTTGCATCCCAACCAAACCATAACATGTTATGTTGTAAACATATTCAGCCTTTGTTCATAAGTCCTTTGCCTATAAATAGAAGAAGAATTTGCAAGACAATGAGGTTAGAAAAAATAGAGAGAGAGAGAGAGAGAGAGAGAGAGAGAGAACAAGGAGAACAGCCAGTAGTTTTATTGATAAACCTTCAAAAAAAGCCATAACAGTCCCTAAGACTTCCACTCTTGAGTTTTGAAGTATAAACCTTAAAACCTCTCACACTTTGCATATTCCATCTAATAACCATCCAAACATTTCATACCACACAGAATTTGTTTAGTAACCTTCAACAAAAAAGAAGTCTAGCATCCTGTTGGAGCTTCCTTAAGGTTCATACAACATCTTGAAGGGTATTTGGATTCAAAAACCTAAAGTGCAGTTTTAAGGTAAGTCATATTTACCTTGCCTTTTCAATACATCAATTTTTCTGTTTATAGGATGTAGTAATCACTATTTTTGAAGTTAATCATTTTTTCATGTTATTCATTTATATGTTCAAAACTAACTGATGTATGCAAAGAATGGTGTTTAAGGCAGAAAAAGGCAATATGTATCGACACATATCCACATGTGTCAACCCATCTTAGTGAAAATGCAGGGTATGAGTCGACACATGACCCTCATGCATCGACCCATACTGAGTTCAGGTCATAAAACAGAAACTAGAAAGGACTATGAGTCGACACATATGCATTTCGCGTCGATGCAAAAAGGTGTATGAGTCGATACATCCCATTATGTGTCGACTCATACTGAACAGATTTCACTTTACAGAAGCTGGAAAGGCTTATGAGTCGATACATACGCGTTTCACGTCGATGCAAAAGGTGTATGAGTCGATACATCCCATTATGGGTCGACCCATACTGAACTAATTTTGTTTTACAGGGGAAGGGAAAATCTATGTGTCGATGCATAGTAGCATGGGTCGACACACAGCAGTTCAAAATGCATTTTTCCTTTATTCTACATTGTTTTCACATTCTTTTCATTATAATTAGATGTGGTTGTAATATTCTAGTTCCTACTTCATCCCCATTGTTAAATTGTATCCCCATCCCCCTAAAGTGATGTAATAGCTTAGATTTTACGTTCCGCTTTTTACTTGCTTTTCATATATTGCTAGTAAATAAGATGTATGGTAAGATAAAATCAACAAATAGATGACTTTCGAAAAAACAAGACAAAATGCATGCAAACTAACATACTATTCACACATGCACCCTTAGGGTAATCCCATCTCGTTGCCCCTTTCGGAAAATAGTCATGTCCCTCGAGCATGGGCGTTTTAGCAAAGACCCTCGATAAAAAGATCGTAGTCCCTCGATGACCCTCGATGTTTCCTTCGGTAAACGATCTAGTCCCTAAAACGATATTGCTAAAACGTCCCATATGTTGCCTTCTATGACTATACAAACGTCCCAACGCCCGTCCCTTTACATCCAACGATTGGGGCTTCTTATCAAATCAATGGTAAGATAGCAACATCTAAAGGAGGAGGAAAAGCACATTTAAGACCTTTCGAGTAGGTAGGTTCACTCTCAATTACTCGCTTGCTCACGACAAAAACATTTTATACACCCACACTCTCACCTTTGAACTATTTTCGTAACAAACACTTTGTAGGCGTTCTTATAGAAACAAGAACCATTACGAAGTTCCATTTTCAAAATACTTTCAAAAACACATCTCACAAACACACTTTTGAACTTTTTTCGAAACAAACACTTTGTAGGCGTTCTCATAGAAACGAGAACCATTACGAAGTTCCATTTTCAAAATACTTTCAAAAATCACCACCACAAGCACACATTCAAACAAAAGCAAGTGATCTAGCAAGTAACTAAGAGCCCGTGGAAAACCATGGATAAAGAGGGTGCTAATACCTTCCCTTTTCATAATCTACCCCCCGAACTCAAAAAAACATCTCTGATGGTCTTTCCTGTGCTTTTTCACCTTTCCTTTTTGGATAAAAGAAAAGTCGGTGGCAACTCTTGTTGACCGCAACATTTGCGATAAAACGCAAAAACCTTCAAGTCAGTTCTCCCACCGTATCACAGACATAAATCAAGAACAACAATCAGAAAAATACCAAGAAATTGAAGAAGGCATCTCAGATCCCGAGGACTGGGAGTCATCGTTGCAATTTTCTTCGACGGATCCAAATGACGTTATCATCCCCACAAAGGAGATCGAGTTTTCTTCCTTGGTCCTTGATGATGATGCTGGTTCGAATTCTCCGATTGCTACTCAAACATTCGTTCCAATCTTAACCCCATCCAACATCAATTTGGAGCTCCTAGGCGATAGTGTTGATGTTGTGAAATCAGCGTTCGAAGTTAATGGTATTTTCTATTTATCCTCATATGTCAGAGAGCAGCTGAAGGACGCTATTTCTAGGGTTTTTAGGAATTTCTACCCGACGAGGTGGCTAGAAGATGGTTCCAACAATGTTCTTTCAATTGTGTTTTTTCTTTTTCAGACTTGTTTGCAAAATACTATGATTATCTTTGTGAATATTGCGTTGAAATCATTTTTGGGATTTGACAAATAGAAGCATTTGATATAACCTCAAAAAGCATTTTGGTTAGAAAAACATCAAAAGAAAATTTACGCCCATATCCACGCCTACGTCCACGTGTATATACATCCACGCATGCGTCCATAATAACTACATGCACGCCTATGCTTGCGCCTGCGATACAAATATCAAGATCTTGTTGAAGCCTTTCATATGATTCAGATCAATTCAAAGATACCGCAAAAATGCAATATTGGGGAGTTGGTAACACAAAACTAATGGTTTAGAAGGAGAGAATATCGGGAAAAAAATTCATTATATTTTGGGGCATATACATACATTTGATACATATCTAAACATTTGGGGATACACAAAATACTTGATGCATATATATTATGGGTTCCATATCCATCTAGGACATTATGCATATACATCATACATGGCATTTTTCAAACACACTTCGGGTAAAACAAACATCTTGGGGCCCTTTGTAAGATTATCAAAGCAAGCAATTACCTTGGTTGAGAACAGACACAACCGGTAAAACTCTGATCTTAACTTTGATCTAGTTATCTAAGATTTAATCACCAAAACACTTTTCAATCATCTACCCCCTAGGTTGTGGTAGGTGTGCGAATTACCAGGTTCATATTATTCATTCCCTAGGTTGCAATGAGTACGTGAATCTATCTTTATGTCGTTTATCCTCTAGGTCGGGGTAAATGCACAAATTCTTAAAATATCTATCCTCTAGGCTGTGATAGGTATGAGAATTTTCAGGGCTATGCTATTCATCCTTTAGGTTGTGATGAATAACATAAGCCCACCCATGTTGTCTTTTATCCCCTAGGTTGTGATAAATGCACATGTTCATCCTCATACTGTTTACTCCCTAGGTTATAGTAAACATAACGAAATTTGCAGTATGATTCATCGCATCATTCTCTATGCATCGATGCATTATCAAAAATATATTTTATTCATCCCCTAGGTTGCGATGAATAGACAAAATTTGCATTATAAACTTACTATATTAGTCTCAAAGTATTCGTAAATCAACTCTCAAACTTGTATTATTTACCCTCTAGATTATGGTAAATATGCAAAAAATCTACAATCTCTTTTAGATATTGATGAGTTATCTGCGTCGTCATATCTAAGCCAAATCAAAAACTCTTCGTTCAAAACTCTAGTAAGATGATACATCATCATTTGTGCCTATTTTCTCGACGCTCTCGAGAATGTTGTACAGTATATCCTTATAATCTTTCGGATAAATTTTGTTGGAACCATCTGCTATTTGCAGGGTAAGAATCTGTAAGGAAACCCAACTTGTGCAATACAGCCAATCAAACTATAGGTAATTATGCTATGCATAAAAAATTTATAGTCGAGCCTATTGTTATAATATTACATGTTGAGAAGCATGTTTCTTCGATCAATTTCCTTTTTACATTTCTGAATTGTGTGGTGATAATTGATTGCAAAAGTAAGAAGAATTGTGTTGAAAATAATCACTTCTATGTCCATGGAAACATTTCTTCTTCTTTAATTCATAGAGTTCCCAGTATCAAATTTTATGTTCTTGCTGACCCTACCTCCTTGCTTACATATATACGAGATCATCTAGAACTCCTAAACGAATTTTTGTCGATGCCTTATCCTAGTCAAGTTACTCTTCTAAGGTTGCCTCAAGTTTATGATATTAGAGTTGGTGATATTTTGAAGAAGGCTTGTCTAAATTTCATAGATGACGAGCACTTGTTTATTATATTGCAAGAGGCTTATGCTACCAACATGTAATATCTTTTCTATAATCTTTGGTATATAGAAATCAATATTGATCTTTCTTTGCATTTGCTTGCTAATTATCTCTATGAGAGATGTGGTTGTGAACTCTTGTCAAAGTTTAAGCATCAGGTGACACAAGATGGTTGGAAGAGTAATAACATAAATGGATACGGTTTGTGTCATGATATTTTTGAGACAACCCTTTTTGGATATCTATCATAAATATGGTGGTGTAAGATTAGCTGCCTCGGTTTTTGCCATGATAGATGCTCGAAAAACAACAAATGTTGGTTCGTGGAACACCTTGATAACTGCTTATCTTCAAAATGGACAGGCATTGGAAGCTTTTTAACTTTTTATTCAAATGATACGTAGAAACGTTCGAGAGCCAGAGCTTGTATTAGAATATAACGGCAAGAATGTTTCAACCGATGAAGCAAATGTCTCTGATGTTATCAACACAACTACTGAAGAGCGTACTGGTACTGCAAAAAGGAGTTTCCAACAACCCTTTGACTTTGATTGTGAAGAAGAACAATGTGCCTGATTTAACTATGATGGATCTTCCAAGAATTACTCGTGTACTTGTTCATGGTCAGCCAGATAATATCTATGATCAAATCAAGGATATCATCATGGAGTATATAACTCCTGAAGAAAGCATTATGTTGAATGTTCTTTCGGTTATTGTTGATTTCACAACATGTGAGTCCATTAAGATGTCTCATTCTGTTGATAAAACGGGATTGAGAACTTTGGTTGTCGTTACAAAAGCTGACAGGTCTCCTGAAGGTTTGTTGGAGAAGGTTAAAGTTGACGATGTTAACACAAGCCTTGGTTATATTTGTGTAAGGAATCGAATTGGCGATGAATCTTACGAAGAAGCTAGAAATGAAGAGCATAAGCTTTTTGAGTCTCATTCGCTCCTTTCTAAAATAGACAAGTGTATTGTTGGATTTCTTGCCCTGGCACAAAAACTTGTTCATGTCCAAGCTATGATTATATCAAAAACATTGTCGGAGATTACAAAGAAGATTAATGAGAAGCTTAATAATAATTTAAAGGAGTTGGAAAATTTGCCTGCCAGTCTGTCATCTTTGACAGATGCTATGTCTATTTTTATGCAAATTGTTGCTCTTTCTAGAGATTCTCTTAGAAATATTCTTCTGATTGGAGATTTTTAAGAGTATTCTGAAGAAAAACAAATGCATTGTACTGCTAGGTTAGTTGAAATGCTTAATTCCTATGAAAAGGAACTTCAAAACGGTCCTGAAAGTAATCCAACCAAGGATTTTCTAATAGAAGAAATATGGGGAAAATATTGTTTGAGATTTAAATCAGAGAGGTTGATTTCTAAGAAAAGAGGGACAATACATGTTATGATTGTTCAGTTTAAGCAAAGAGATTTGGGAATAATTTTAGAATTTTGAACACAAGATTCAAGGGAATCTGACGACAATGATAAAGAGTTAAATATAATAAATTATTATTAGTTTTAAATACATTTTATTAGTATTTTGATGTATTTGAAATTATTCTATATTATTATGTTTTCTAGAATATTCTTGAGATCTTTTGGGCTTTTAATAGATTTTAGACCTTTAGTTAATTATCTATTAGGAGTATTATATATGTAATCTCTATGAGACATTGAAAAATATCAAGAATAAAATAAAAACATCTTTTATCTTCTTCTATTTTATATAATTAATGTATTGTTCTTCTCGTTTTAGTGTAGAAAATTTTAATTCATAATTTTGATAAGAAAATTCCATGTCAGAAAGAATCTAAAAAAAAGAGAAATAAGAAAAACACGAAGAAAAAAAAAACAATTAAAAAATGAAAAAATAATTCTCTGTAAATGATACCTAACATTTGTGTATTAGTAATATTAAATAATTCCAGTAATACAATTTTTATATTCCACAGTATAAACAAAAAGTATTAAATTCAGTGAGTTGTAATTTTAATTTTGAAAATTTTATTCCACAAATGGAATTACACTTTTTATTGTTTATTACAATTACAATTCATCTTCCCATTTTATCATAAAACTTTTATGTGAAATTGTTTAATCCATATTGTAAATTTTATCTTATGAGTGACAATAATATATTTTATAAAATATTATAAAATACTACCAAATTATACATATATATATATATATATATATATATATATATATATATATATATATATATATATATATATATATATATATATATATATATATATATATATATATATATATATATATATATATATATATATATATATATATATATATATATATATATATATATATATATATATATATATATATATATATATATATATATATATATATATATATATATATATATATATATATATATATATATATATATATATATATATATATATGCTTTGTTTGTAAATGAAAAGATAAGAAAAGAAAGTAATCGGAAAATCAATATATTTAATGGCTAAAAATTCAAATACATTTTAGATTTTAAAAAAGTGTTCTTTTTCTATTTAAAAAAACTATTTTATAAGTTTTTTTTTAAAATAGTATAAGTTTTTTCAAACTCATTTTCATAAACTAAAAAAGTAATCTTGACATTTTGTAATATAATATTCACTACTAATGATTTTAAAACCGCATAATTATTTTAAAACAATTATTTCAAAAATAGTTTTTAGGAAAATTATTTTAAAATAGCTTCATATATAAATGATTTTTTTAAAAAACATTAATTTCTAATAAATTTATAGTAAAAGAAACTTTTTTTTATTTTCTTACCAAAATTTATATTACTATAAAATAATTTTTAAAACGGAAACAAATGGTCCCAAATAATAGCCGTTTGAAATTTTTTGAGTAAATTATATCTAAAAATAATAATATCGTCAATTAAATTATATTTTTTCATTTTGGTCTTTTGTAATGGTTTGCAAGTTGCATGTGATTTTGAATGGTTAAAGAATTTATATCTTTTATTACCATTTTAAACACATTAAATTAAAATTAAAAATAATAAAAAAAGAGAGACTTTACATTAAAAAAATTTAAAAACTTATTTTTGTAATAAAATGAGACTCAACTAAATTTTTAATTGTTCCATTATACTATAAATAGATTGACAAAGTGTCACTTGAGATTTATTTAACCATGTTTATGATACCATTAAGTTTGATAATTCAATACAAGAATTATCTCTAATCTCAAATCCTTATAATAGTGTATTGACACCAAATCTAACAAAATCATGCTCATAACTTAACAATTTACAAGAATGCTAACGATTAAAAATGCTAAATTTATAATGTGTTGTTGAAAAAAATTATGTGTCATTTAACGGCTTCCTACTATTTTATTAGAAATCATTGACACTATAAAATAATCAGAAATTTTATCACCTAATATGTGTAGAAAGAAATTGAAAACAAATCTTCATCATAGAAATATTTAAATTTTAAGATACACAAATTTAAACGATGGCGGGTGGAGTTTTAGTTACTTCAATAAATAGAAGACAATATGAGGGGAAGGTTACAATGTTTGTTTTGGTCACATGTTTAGTGGCGGCTATGGGCGGTTTACTTTTTGGTTATGATCTTGGTATTACAGGAGGAGTGACTTCCATGGAACCATTCTTGGTTAAATTCTTCCCCAGTGTTTACAAACAAATGAAAGATGAATCTGGACACGAGAGTCAATATTGCAAATTTGATAACGAGCTCCTTACTTTGTTCACATCTTCTTTGTATCTTGCAGCTTTAATAGCTTCTTTCTTTGCTTCCACAACTACAAGAATGTTAGGACGCAAGGCCTCAATGTTTACAGGTGGCTTGTTTTTCCTTATTGGTGCATTGCTTAATGGTTTTGCTATCAACATTGAAATGCTTATCATTGGTCGCCTATTACTTGGTTTTGGTGTAGGATATTGTAATCAGGTAAAAATTGGTATCACTTTTATGCTTTTATGTTTTTATGTATAAATGATCAAGAATATTGCAAGTTTAATTGCATATAATTTTTTGTTACTCATAAACAGTCAGTTCCAGTGTATTTGTCTGAAATGGCTCCAGCAAAGATTAGAGGTGCACTCAACATGGGCTTCCAAATGATGATAACTATTGGAATCCTAGGGGCAAACATTATCAACTACTTTACTTCTGATCTTGAGAGTGGATGGAGAATTTCTTTGGGTATCGGAGCTGTTCCTGCAATTTTGTTGTGTATAGGATCTTTTTTCTTAGGAGACACACCAAACTCTATGATTGAAAGGGGCCAAAAAGAAGGAGCTAAGAAAATGTTGCAAAAGATTCGTGGCATTGATAATGTCGATGAGGAGTTCCAAGATCTAATCGATGCTAGCGAGGAAGCCAAGAAGGTGGAACATCCATGGAAGAATATTACACAACTGAGATATAGACCTCAACTAACATTTTGCTCTCTCATTCCATTCTTTCAACAACTCACGGGAATCAATGTTATCATGTTTTATGCCCCTGTCCTTTTCAAGACTTTGGGCTTTGGAAACAATGCTTCCCTCATGTCCGCAGTAATTACCGGAGGTGTCAATGTTCTTGCTACTTTTGTTTCCATCTTCACAGTGGATAAGTTTGGAAGAAAAATTTTGTTTCTTGAAGGTGGTGTTCAAATGTTTATTTGTCAGGTGACTATTGCAACTAACTAATAATTAATTATTTATATTTTCCATTCAAATTGTCTGTTTTCCAAGCATAGCTAATGAAAATGTTATGGTTATTGATTGTAGATTATTGTGGGAAGCATGATTGCTATTAATTTTGGAGTTAGCGGTGAAGGCTCATTTACACGTATTGAAGCTAATCTTCTTTTGTTCTTCATATGTTTGTATGTTGCCGCATTCGCATGGTCTTGGGGTCCGTTGGGATGGTTAGTTCCTAGTGAAATATGCTCTCTTGAGGTTCGGTCTGCAGGTCAAGCTACCAATGTTGCTGTGAACATGTTGTTCACCTTTGCCATTGCTCAAATTTTTCTTACTATGCTTTGTCACTTGAAGTTTGGACTTTTCTTCTTCTTTGCTGGCTTTGTGCTTATAATGACAATTTTCATTGTCATGTTTTTTCCCGAGACAAATAATGTCCCAATTGAAGAAATGAATAAAGTGTGGAAGTCTCATTGGTTTTGGACAAAATTTGTTTCAGATGTTGTCGTCGATCATGATCATAAGGTCGTTGCTTGATTTCGATATTAGAAAAAGCTCGGGACCTATACCAATATATGTATGATATAACAATTTCCGTTAATTCTATTTGATGTTGTTATAATCATCTTGTATTTAAAAAAACTAATAATTTATTTTAATTTATAAATAATCTATAATATATTTTGTTGTTCTAATATAATATGGTTATAATTTTAATAAAGTTGATTCTTTTAAATTTAATACTTTAATTATAAATTTTATATCCAATAATAAAATATTTCTATAAAGAGAATAAAATAACTTTTGTGACTTTGTATTTAAGATGGTAATACATGTATTTTCTCTTATAGAAATTCTTAATTATATAATCGATTAGACTTAACACCTATTAGTATTTAACTTATAACAATGGATGTAAATTTCTATAAACTAAACATAATAATTAAATCAAAGAGAGAGAGAAAAAACATAACAAAAATGAAATTTAAAAAGACATAAAATATAATTAAATAAGAAGAGAGAATATAATCCGGTAGTAAATTTGAGAAAAATAAAATAGAATGTCAATGAAAGTAATTGGCAAAAAAAAAAAAGGCGATCATAACCTTTTTAATAATGAAAAATCTTTAATATTGTGACTTTATATTAGTAGAAGGAGATTACTTATACCTTCCAAAATTATGCAAAATACATAGGTATTTATTTACTTATTTCACTAGTAATCGTTAGAAAATTTTTTATTTATCAATGAAAAGTGATAAAATATCAGTTTGAATTTGTACTTGCACATTAACCAAAAATGAGCAAGGATTGATAAAACACCAAGCAACACACAAAAACCTTATCAAAACCTTTTCCTCCAAGGAATACTTGCTAGGCCGGGTTAATGAGCCTGTTACAGGCAGGAGATTTTCTTTTTTATGTGCCACTCTCTAGCCTATAAATAGAGGTTATTCCCTTCACATTTTCACATCTAGAAACGTGAGTAGCTTGATTATCCATCCGGG